CATATTAAACTTCAAGTTGCAAAACAATAAAAAACCAAAATATTTTGTAAATAAAACAATCTCCTTGATATTTTACACTAAGAATATAAAATACAACAGATGGTAAGATATACACGAAGGAGTCTTGCTAAATGATTTAGTTCCTCAGAACAAAGAGCTTAGTTCTTTTCCAGTTTATAAAACGAAAACAATGAAGCTTTAAGTAATAAAGACTAAGTAACTTGTAGCATGGCCTCCTCTCTGAACAAAAAATATTGTTTTAATTACCACATTCATTCAGTCTTTTTAAAACATTTGTTTTTCAAATTTTGATTTGAAAATCTTAACTGTATGTATAAAGAAAGGGTTCAATGATCAATTCAGCTTACAAATGGACTTTTAACTTGGGTTTCCAAAGGGCCTAAGTAAATTACAGCAAACAGAAAAGAATAAAATTTCATATGCAATAAAATTATTTAATTTATTCTCCACACATATTGTATAAAGAATCAAATGCTAGTAAAAACTGGAAGTGTTTGATCTACTTTCTTTTCAACTGGGAAACATGGTGAGATATCTTTGAGCATACAGAGGTGGTTTGCCCCTGTGTTACGTAAATAATGGGAAAGAGGAAAATCAACCTCTTTTGAAGTAAAGGAGTTAAGAATAAGTCACCCAAAATATGCCATTTTGGCAGCTTGATGATTTAAGTTTCAAGGCACTAGAAAAAGAGTAGGTCAGATCACTCTGACCTTTGTGCTACTCTGACTTTTGTGCTGTTTCTTGAAAGCAAGGGATGAAATTCCCAAGTGAAAGATGCCCCCTTTTACTAGAGAGAAAACAAACTTCTTTTTAAAAATGGAAAGTTGGGGCCAAAGAAAATCTGTATAAACAACCATTAACCTAAATTTACATTCCTAGCCACTTCTCTACTCAATGATATACTCCTGCCCCAGAACCTCTTTGTCACGTTTTCACGAGTTATTACTCCTTGTCTATTTCAGTACGTAGGTGTTCCATTTTAACTGCTTCATTAGTGTTTTTGATTCCTTATGAGAATTTCTATGCCATATAACACTTAAATTAAATAAACTTGCATGCTTTCTTCCTAGTCATCTGTCTTACAGTTAATTTAGTTCTCAGGCTGCCACTACCCTAAGGATGGAGGTAGAATTTTGCCTCCATTACAGAAGAGAAGGTAATCAGATGCTTAATAAAGTTCTCAACAATCTGTAATGCTCACAGATACTCTTCACAGTTCTATATGCTATGTTGCAAGTATTAAAAAATTAAAATCCCAACTGAACAGCAGAATAATGATCCTTAACCCTATGAGCTAGATTATTTTCCCTATTATCAAACTGCAAAACCTGTAACCAGATTATTTTGTTTTTATAAAAATGTTTAAAAATAGAACAAAATTCTCTAAGCTACATCAAAAGGGAAAGCA